CGCGGAAGGTCCGCGGAAGCTCGCGGGCGGAAGCTTTTTTGTTCAATTAGATTTATACACCTGTTTTTTTTAACTGCTCAACTCAAAATCCTGTTAAAAGCCATCAAAAGTTTGATTGAAAACCCAAGAAAATTACTCTGAAACTTACGTAAACCAATTGAAATCGGATGAGAATCCATTTTGGAATCAAATGAAAACCAGTTGACGTTCAATTAACGAATCAAATAAAACCACTGAGAAATGCTAGAGCTCTGGAATCTAGCCTGAAGATCAGGGCCTGTTAGTTTTGGTATCCTGGTCTCAAAGCAAAAGCAGTCTCAGAGAACACCTTCAAGTTGTTTCTATTGTGTGCCTTTCTTTATATATAGCTAGAGCAAAATTGATTTACGTAACGTTATAATTTCGGGCTGCAAGACCCTTTATTTAGTAGCCCGCACCCCTCAAACAATATCAGATTCTGAAGAATTTCTCGACAAACAGCTGCAAAAGAGAGTCCAACATTCGTAGAAGTGGTCGCGCCGTGACTTGGTATTCTCAAGCCGTTACTTTTCAGCCGTCAACTGGCTCATGGTCATCTGTTGGCCAGCAGCAAGCTATAGTCGCAAGTGGGAGGCTCCGGTTGCACGCGTAACTCTAAGATACAGCCGAAAAACCACCGAACTGCAGGACCTCTCCAGAGCGTTTCACTAAGATTATAGAACTCTTAAACTAGTTTCCATTTTTTCCATTATCCCTATATAGTCCGAATACAACCCTACATAACCCCTATAATATTATGGTAGTTTCCACTTTCTCTTCCATTATATATCCCAATGTACCCCCAATATACTACGTGCAGGACATGAGCAGGGGAGCAGGTCTGGAAAAGCCTGTCGATGGATGAGTGCAAACCAAGCCTTCTCATTCATGCTAGCTAAAATGCAAGCCCAGACCTTAAACCCCAAACTGCAAACCTCTAAACAAAAGCTCTGAGTAATATGGCCATTGCTCCTAATTATGACAGCAACCTACTTTGGGCATGACTGCTGCTGTTGCGATTGTTATTCTTCTTAGCCACCGGAGATACAGCAGGTGATGGACATCACCACCCGCTTCAAGCAGAAGCTGTTTGAGAAGCGCCATGAGAGGGTGCCTTTGGGCTTTTCGAGCGCTAAGCGCTAAACCCTTATTTAGGGTTGAGGGTTTGGGGTTTAGGGCTTCTCAAGTGAGATTCCTAAACCTGAGCAGTTCCCTGCCATCTCGTCAATTTCGCAGCATATGAGCTACAGCGTAAACTCCTTCAAAAGGAAATATAGGGGATTCAGCAGGGGAGAATTATGGTATTGAGGGGAATACTAGGAGTTTAGACTATAGCTCATATGGTGATATCGCTAGGACTTGAAGCCCAAACTTGTGTGTGTGTGTATACATGTGGACACATTGTAGAATATGCATGGATCTACCAGGCTATCTAGGCAAACGAGTAGGAAAGGTTGGGTATGTATGTATGTATGCATGTATGTATGTATGTATGTATGGATACATCTATCCCCTCCCCTCATATTAAACCCCCCCAACCTCCCTAATATTAAATATTCCCATTATGTGGTATAATCTACCACATAATGGGAGTACGTAAATTAGGGGGAGGGGATTGATGTATGTAAATGTTGGAGATCTGCATTTCGAAGCCTAGGCTTGTCCAAAACTTGGGAATGAGGCCGACACCCTACACCCTAAACCCCCAAACTCGTGCCATGATCTTGGCCGTTTAGGGTTCAGGGTATAGGGGTTTAGGGTTTAGAAGGTTGTTCTTTGCAAGCAAGCTGCTTTTCCATGCTCGGCATGTTCATCAATCAAAGCTTTGTGCAAGTTGTGTGGCGCTCTTGGTGCACTGCATACAGGGGGCCGGGGGGGGTGTTGTTCAAGTTATGCAGTTATGCTCCCTGTTTGGAGTTGCCTGTAGAATCTGGCGCGTAAGATATACACCCGCAAGCGGTGTAATGGCTTGAAAACCCTCGACATGTTCGATGAAAGCGAAAGTTCTCCGCCAGCTTGTTCATCATGAGGCGTTGTATTTTGCCCGAATCATTCGAAGGCTTCAAAAATTCAAGGGTCCTTTTCCTGGGTGTGCTGATATCATGATCAGTAAAAGGGGTTCTCTAATGTTGTGGGGCACATAGGGGATCCTCTGGAGCCTGCCCCCACTCACGAACAACATCTAGAGTATGACTACTGTAGACAGTTAATGGGTTCGGGCAAGACACAGGGGATCCTACTTTGTGGATATAGTCTCCCTTAAGTAGATAGAATATGGCTTTGGGGTATATTATAATAGGAACCCCATATACCCCATATTCTATCTACTTAAGGGGGACTATAGCCCCAATAGATACCCTTTTATAATATAGTAGTTTCCATTTTCTTTTCCATTATTCCCTATATAATCCCAATAATGTACCCCATATTCTATCTACTTAAGGGGCACTATATACCCCCCTAAACCCTAAACCCTAAACCCCAAACCCCTACTTAAGGGGCACTATATAGGTGTGGGAGGGACTGGTTCTTTCCTTGCAGGCCGCAGCCGATGGCTTCGATGATGTGAGCTCAGTCGATTCTGAGGAGAGCCTTTAGCTTCGGGGATTATGGTTTAGGGTTTAGGGTTTAGGGTCCCCTAAAGCCTCCTAGACCCTAAACCCTAGACCCAAGATTGTTTATCGTATAGGGTACTTGAAAATGCTATCGGTGATTACTGTAACCCAGTGGACCCACAGCTTGGAACGCAGATCGTACCCCTCACGCAAGGCGCGAAGGATGTGTGTGGGACGAAGACAGCTCTGACAGTACCTTTTGCTATCCCTTTGGAGCCGCGTGACTGTCGCAAGCTCCCACAACTCAAAGTTTGATGTTGATAGTTTCATGCCACTTCAGGCCTTGTCTCTGTCTTCCCACCTTTACCCCAGCCTAGGGGTCCCAGCATCCAAGTATGAGGAGTTCAGGTATTAAACCTGAAATCAGATCATGTCATGTGGGACCGAAACATGCGCGTTCGCAAGGTGACCCCACATGGGCAATACATAATGCTGAGGTATATCAGGTGTCCTACTTATGGGATTTGTTGTTCACGCGCCTGTCTATCCTGA